CTCTCTCCGGGCGAGAGCAGCGTGTATCTGAGCGCGCGCGTCCGGTTTTGTGCGAGAGCAAAGGAAATCCACACGCAAGCGGAGAGATTCGCGCTCGTGCATTATATTAATGTGCTTTCGCGCTACAATAATGCGCTCTCGACATTTGTCATTAAAATAATGCCATAGTTGGCGTTATGGTTAGAACGCTTGGTTGAGTGCATCAGACGAGACGACGAGGAAGAAGAAGTGCAGCTGTAGCCTCAAGTTTTCGCAAGTTATTACACACGCAGTTATTTTTAAGCGGTTGTTGACATCCTATCTAAAACGTGATTTAGCCAAAAAACAACAACAATAACGTTACCACTCTAATATGTCTTGCAATATCCGTGCGTGCAAAGGTTCTGCGCGATCCACTTGTTCAATATTCTCTGGGTCTGAATCCGCCTCAAATTGATATGGCAATATTGACTAAATCGGAGCAGACGGAACTTGCTGCTTTGGCAAGGGGCGGGGCAGTACTGAAACACCGTCTAAGCTGTTCGCCAATCACAACGCACTGGGACAGCTAACCAATCACATCACATTTCATTTTTCGGAAGGCGGGCCTTCAACAAACCCGGAACTAATCGAGCCGTTTGTGCCAGGATAGGGAGAAAGGTTTTGTAATAATGTAAATTATGTAAAAAAGAATGCGTTTTTGGAACCACCAAGCATGAGAGCATGTTCTAGTATACCCCCAAAACAAATTCAAGACATTGTAAAAGAGCGTAATAGGACCCCTTTAATATAACATTTTACGTCTCTCATTCTTCTCACATATAAAGTAATTTGCCTATATATTAATGTTTCATGCTCATTTAGTAATTTATTTGTTAAGCAGCTGTGTAATTCAGTGCTAGTATGGAATCACTGAGACACTATTATAGTTTTTATTAGTATTTTGAATCACTATTTATTTGTATATTTTCCATTTTAATTTTACTTAGTTTTATTTAATTTTATTGTTTTTTGGCTTTGTTTTTAGTAGTTTTTTATACATCTATATAGTTTTATTAATAAAGTTTGAGTTATTTTAGTACATCAAGTTAAACTAAATTAAAATGAGAAATGTCGCCTTGGCAGCTGGCTGATTTTTTTATGTATATATATTTTATTTTATTTCAGTTAATGTCTCTCATGCTTTTCAAATAAAAAAGTTATTTACCTATATATTAATGTTTCATGCCCATTTAATAATGTATTTGTTAAGCACCTGTGTAAAACAGTGTGATTTTAGTATCATCAAGATACTGAATTTAAATAAAAGTTTTTATTATTATTTTGTAACACTTTTTATTTTAGTATTTTAAATTTTCATTCTAATTTTAGTTAAAGATTTAGTTGTTGTTTTTGGTCTTTTTCTGGTGTTTTTTTTTTTATATGTCTACAGTTTTAATTTTTATTTTAATTTTAGTTTTAGTTTTATTATATCAAGTTAAACTAAATAAAAGAAGTAGTGTTGCCTTGGCAACTAGCTGAATTTTCTTTATAATATAGTTTAATATTTTAATACTTTGATACTTTATATTTTGATATTTTATTTCAGTTAATGTTTATTTTATTTCAAGTAATGAAAATGATATATTTTTTAGCAATTTTAGATTTATTTTAGTTAACTCTAATAATAACTGTGCATTATCTCTTACATAACACCTTCATTTTCCTCCTCTAATTGTCTCTAGAGATTGTCATCCTGAAGGAAGTGTTTCAGATTTCAAGTGATGGTAAGCACTTTTTTTCTACATAATTGCTACATAATTTGATAATGTAACCTTTTCTTTTTGCCCTCATTATGTTCAACATTTGATTTCAGATCACGACACAGCCGTCAACAGATACAGTCGTCTGTCTAAACGAAAGGAGAATGAGAAGGTGTGATATTTTGAGAATTCACAGTGTTTTATGATTGACAGCTGGTTGGTTTGCATTCCGCTCCGCCCGTCCTCATATTGACACGTACAGAGCTTAACGTGTGTGTGTGTGTGTGTGTGTGTGTGTGTGTGTTTTTATTGCTGAAAACGTGTGTTTTAATGTGCTCATTTAATCACGCACACACTGAGAGTTGGCCTGACCGCCGATAGATGAGCATCTGTTACTCTTTGACGTTGGCAGGTACCTGTGTCCTTGTCTAGGATAAGAAAAGAGAAAATATTAGGCAAATATCTCATTATTCAGTTAAGATGACGTTAACATTTTTTTTTTTTTACCTTCTTAATGCACTTTTTTCATCAGTGCATGTTATTCCAAATCATAATCGTACATCACATTTGCTCTAGTGTTATTTTAGTATCATTGAGACACCACATATTGTTTTAGATATTTGAAATTAGATTTTATTTTTATATTTTTGCTTTTTTTGGTTATTTTAGTTCAAGTTTTAGTATTTTTTATTTTTTTTATAGTTAGTTCTTTTATTAGCATTTGTAGTTTATAAATATGTCTATATAGTTTTGATAATTGTTTTAGATATTTGAAATTAGATTTTATTTTTATATTTTTGCTTTTTTTGGTTATTTTAGTTCAAGTTTTAGTATTTTTAATTTTTTTTATAGTTAGTTCTTTTATTAGCATTTGTAGTTTATAAATATGTCTATATAGTTTTGATTAATTTTTATTTCAGTTTTAGTTATTTTAGTACATCAGGTTATCAAACTAAGTGAAAAAAAGAGAAATGTTGCCTGGGAATGTAGCTGAAATAAAATAAGTTTATTAAAATAAGTTATTTTTATATTTAATTTTATTTCAGTTAACTTTTATTTTATTTTAAGCAACAAAAAATATTAATAATTTTAGTTTTAGTTAACTATAATAACACTGCTCATACTAATTTTTAGTATAATTTTTACTATAATTAAAATTTTTCACTGATGTCACCAAGGCCTCTTATTTTTTAACTGCATGTCTTACACCGAAGCGATAAAAAAGTAAAAATAAAAAATGCACTCAGAAATTGCTAGTAAATTTCGGAAACGACAAAGAAACGGCAAGTAACATTGAATTAAGCATGAAGTTTTTAAGTAGAAAAACTGAATAGTATTTCCTTGTAAAACATATTCCAGTAATCTTTGCTCTATTCACAGTCTATAGAGACACTTTTCACCATCCAGTCAATTCCCAATTGTTAAAATCATGTCCCGGCCTGCATTTAACTGCTGTCATGCATGCGTTCACTGCAGGTGAAGAATGAAGTGATGGAGGACGTCTACACGTCCAGGAAAAAACAGCACGAGACCATAATGCACTACTTCGCATCGCTCAACATGCTGCAGTACAAGAAGAAGATCGCGCTGCTGGAGCCGCTGCTGGGATACATGCAGGCGCAGGTGTTCATACAGCTGTCAAACATGAACTATAGCCCTCATTATCCATTCACAATGCCATCTGATAATAGAGGCGTTTTATAATTCATTATTGTTTGCTTATCATCAGATCAGTTTTTTCAAACTGGGATCAGAGAATCTGACGCAGCAGTGGGAGGAGTTTCTCACCAACATTGGAACCAGCGTGCAGAAGTGAGTCTCAGCCAGTGTTATTGTTGTTAACACTTAAAAAATAGATTTTGTTAACTGAAATAAAGATTAGTGTTAGACATAAATTTAAATGTGATTTTTTTTTTTTGCCGGAACGGTTTACTAAAACACTCAAACTAAAACAGAAAAAATATATAAATTATATTTATTATATAGCAGAATAATAAATAAAATATGAATATTAAGCTGAATAGAAATATAACAAATATTATAAAATTACAAAAAGACATAAAATTACTAAAACTTAAACTAAAATAAAAATGAAAGGTGCAAATATAAAAACTAATTCAAAATATTAAATCTGTTTACTAAAACACTAAAACTAAAACAGAAAAAATATATAAATTGTATTTATTATATAGCAGAATAATAAATAAAATATAAATACTAAGCTGAATAGAAATATTTAAAAAAATTTATAAAATTGCAAAAAGACATAAAATTACTAAAACTTAAACTAAAATTAAAATTAAAAGTGCAAATATAAAAACTAATTCAAATTTTTAAATAAAATAATAGTATATAAATAATGCTAAAATAGCCAAAGACTTGACTAATGCATCTGATGTAATGGATCACAATACATTTATAGGACTTTATCATTTTATGGTATGTTAGTTGTGTTTTAAGTATTGATTTAAGTAGGTTTTACAATATATTGGTGCACATACCAGTATTGGCCTGATTAGTTTGGTTAAAGGCACAATACTGGTATGTGCACCTTGTGTTCATCGCTCTATTCGCGCTTCAAACTGGATCTCACAGCGCTGTTTAGTGCTTGCGTGACCGAGTAAACGCATCTGCTCTAGTGAGCTCTCTGTTTCGTTCTGCTTTTGGCGCATAAACATTATATCGAACATTTATCGAATTCTTCATATCGCTTTATCGAGGAAAACTATATCGCGATAATTACCGTTATCGAATTATCGCCCAGCCCTAAATGAGAAGAATAGTTAATGGATTACTCCAAAATGTCATTACTTTGTTCTCTTTGTGCTCGTAGTGTTCGCAGGGAAATGGACAGCGACGCTGAAGCGACGGAGCAGACTATTCAAGACCTGAAAGCGGCCAGTGACCCGCTCTACATGCCTGACCCAGACCCCAACAAGATCCCTGTGAACCGCAACCTGACCCGCAAGGCTGGCTACCTCAACACTCGCTAGTACGACAACATCAGCCATGAGTCCACAGTCTGTGCTTCAGTCGTCTGCATTTCTAATGATCTCATGCTTCTCCCTGCCAGTAAAACGGGTCTGGTGTCGTCTGCTTGGGAACGTCAGTATTTCTTCACGCAGGGAGGAAACCTCATGAGCCAGTCACGTGGAGACGTAGCCGGAGGTCTCGTTATGGACATCGACAACTGCTCCGTCATGGCTGTGGACTGTGATGACCGCCGCTTCTGCTTTCAGATCACATCGTTTGATGGCAAGAAGTAAGATTTTCAGTGCACAAATCTGTCCTGTACAGTTCTGACTATTGCATATACTTCTACAAGTAGCTATTACAGTATTACTGCAGTCATTTAACCTCTGTGGTTACTGAAATGCTGTTTGCAAATGCTTTTGACTTATTATAAAAAATTGCTGGTAATGTACTCACTCTCAGGCCATCTGAGATGTAGATGAGTTTGTTTCTTCATCAGATTTGGAGAAATGTAGCATTGCATCACTTGCTCAGCAGTGGATGCTCTGCAGTGAATGGGTGCCGTCAGAATGAGAGTCCAAACAGCTGATAAAAACATCGCAATAATCCACTAGTAATCCACACCACTCCAGTCCATCATTTAATGTCTTGTGAAGACAAAAGCTGCGTGTTTTTAAGAAACTAATCCATCATTAAGACGATTTAACTTTAAACTGTCCATAATAACGCTCCGGTGAAAAAGTCACGTTCTCTGAATCAGGAGAGAAATCTGCACAGATCAAGCACCGTTTACAAGCTAAAACAGTCCAGAACAGCTCTAAACAAATATGTGGGAGGATTTTGATGTGAGAGACAACAGGAGATGGACTTTTTCACTGGAGGAAGCGTTATTATGGATTATGGACTCGTATTTTAGCCGGAAGCGATGGTTTAAAGTTAAAAACGTCTTAATGATGGATTTGTTTTACAAACACACAGCTTTTCTCTTCACAAGACGTTAACTGATGGACTGGAGTGGTGTGGATTACTTGTTGATTACTGTGATGTTTTTATCAGCTGTTTGGACTCTCATTCTGACGGCACCCATTCACTGCAGTGGATCGACTGGTGAGCAAGTGATGTGCTGCTATATTTCTCCCTATCTATTCTAATGAAGAAACAAACTCATCTACATCTCAGATGGCCTGAGAGTGAGTACATTACCAGCAATTTTTTATAATAAGTCAAAAGCATTTGCAAACAGCATTTCAGTAACCACAGAGGTTAAATGACTGCAGTAATACTGTAATAGCTACTTGTAGAAGTATATGCAATAGTCAGAACTGTACAGGACAGATTTGTGCACTGAAAATCTTACTTCTTGCCATCAAACGATGTGATCTGAAAGCAGAAGCGGCGGTCATCACAGTCCACAGCCATGACGGAGCAGTTGTCGATGTCCATAACGAGACCTCCGGCTACGTCTCCACGCGACTGGCTCATGAGGTTTCCTCCCTGCGTGAAGAAATACTGACGTTCCCAAGCAATATGTTGTGCGTTTTAATAGACCGGTGACGACTGCACAGAGTAGCATTATAACATAACGTTCAAATGTATCTAGTATGATAAAACAGCGCTGCTTTACCCCACATACGCACGACCGGAAGGAGCGGAAGCGGTCGACTGTGGCATAATAAAAGCTCCGCTGCTTTCGAGCCGTGTGTCGCGCACGTTCAGCGCCTCGTTTCGCTTCGACGGCTTTCAGCCTCACCCTGCTTCATTTTACTACGTTAATAAATCATTAGCTCATCCATGAACATGATTTCTGCCCGAGTCCTGTCGGATTGCATCGGCTGTGGGGATGAAGACCACAACTCCCATGATTCCTCACTCAGTCACAGGTCATCAAACTACGCCTTTGTCTATTTGTTTATTTTGAATACGCGCCCTCTAGCGGCGAAAATTACATATTGTGCCTTTAATTATCAGTGACATATTTCAATACAGGTGATATCAGAGCTTATTTTTCTTATTCAAACTTTATTGGTTAGGGTAGTTAATAAACAGTTAACTATTTATTTATTTATTTTTAACCTGATTCCAGTGTTAACAGTGGAAAAATGCACAACGGTACAGATTTAATATGTCATCATATCAGTTGCATTACATAAAGATAATTATGAGTCAATAATGATGATCCCTATCTGCCAGAATCATTTTTATATAGTTTGTACAGTACTGTTCAAATGTTTCGGGTCAGTATAATTTTTTTTTTTAAGAAATTAATACTTTTATTCAACAAGAACACATTAAATTGATCAAAAGTGACAGTAAAGACATTTACTTTTTAAATGTTTTCTTGAGCAGCAAATCAGAATATTAGAATGATTTCTGAAGGATCATGTGACACTGAAGACTGGAGTAATGATGCTGAAAATTCAGCTTTAGATCACAGAAATAAATTACAGTTTTACAATATATTCACATAGAAAACAGTTATTTTAAATTGTAATCATATTTTGTAATATTACTGTTTTTGGTCCAATTACATTTTACAATATATTCACATAGAAAACAGCTATTTTAAATTGTAATATTTCATAATATTACTGTTTTTGGTCAAATAAATGCAGCCTTGGTGAACAGAAGAGACTTCTTTCAAAAACATTAAAAACCAAAACTTTTAAACAGTATCTTATATGTATCTTAGTGTATCTTTGCAATATGTAAAGTATTGCACACTATTGATCCTGTTTAAGTAATGTTTAACTTTCTCTTTTTTTATGTGCACTTGTTAATAAAATATTCTTTGCATGATATTTGCATGAAAGCACATTTCAGTTATTACTTTAACAAGAAAGTATAAATGCTATGTGTTTGCATGTGTTTTATTTCAAGTGAGAATAGGGCTGGGCGATATGGCCAAAAAACTGATCACGATAATTTTTTCATATCAGTCGATATCGATAATTATCACGATAAATGTCAAATCTTTATTTCTTTCAAGTTCTACATTTCTCCAAATCTGATGAAGAAACAAACTCATCTACATCTCGGATGATCTGGTGGTGAGGGTGGGAATCTAAAATCCCCAAAATGGTTTGGTTACTTTTCCTGTTCTTCTGGTATTAGTGTAGTGATAAGGAATGTGAACACTGTAGTGCTGAAGTGCTGCCAGTGAATTCCCAAGTGCTGATCCAGTTTAAACTCAGTTGAATGTTTATCAGGCGGGTGAACGACTGTCTTATCCTTTCTCAGTATGTCTGCCAGATATTGAGTCATTCTGAGTCACTGCTTTCACTGAATGACTGTTTCTCTGTGTACCGCAGGGCAGTCATATTACAGGCGGAGAGCAGGAAAGACTGTGAGGAGGTGAGGAGATTGTGTTGATTTCACGACAAAATCAAAGAAATTATAATTACATTACTGTTCAAAAATTTTGAGTCAGCAAAAAAATACTTTTTTTTTTTTTTAAAGAAATGAATACTTTTATTCAGCATGATGCATTAAATTGATCAAAAGAGACAGTAAAGACATTTATAATGTTACAAAACATTGCTAATAATCAGAAATGTTTCTTGAACAGCAAATCAGCATATTAGAATGATTTCTGAAGATCATGTGACACTGAAGACTGGAGTAATGATGCTGAAAATTCAGCTTTGATCACAGAAATAAATGATATTTTAACATATATTACTGCAGAAAACTATTTTTAATTGTAGTATCTGACAATATTACTGTTTTTACTGTATGTTTGATCATATAAATGCAGTTTTGGTGAGCAGGAGAGACTTCTTACAAAAACAAAAAAAACCTTTACTGACCCTAAACGTTTGAATATATATTCACTAAACTTTTAATGTATATTCACTAATATTTTCTCTCAATTCTCATTTTATTTCTGAGTTTATTTGTAATTCTCATTATATTCTCATTACTGTAATTGTTACCAGTTTCTTTAAAATTACAATCAGCATAAATAAAGGGAGTAGAAGGACAAATAATATTCAGTAATATTACAGTAATGAAAATTGTGGGGAAAATAAGCATTATTGTCATGCATGTAATGTCATAATATGAAATATCTTAATGGTGCTAAAAGTATTTTTATTATTATTTCTATGCAAAATTAGTTTCTTTCGATTTTGGGAGGAAGTATGACTCTAAACATGCTTTTGATGGGCTTCATCAGATTCACCAATCAAAAATATTTTACACGGTTTTTATTTTAGTGGATTGCGACAATAAACAACATCTCTAAGAGGATATACCTCAGTGAAAACCCAGAGGTGAGTGTGGAATTCAGATTAACTCTTACTGTCATGCATGAAACCCTAAACCTCTGCAAACATGATAAAATAACTTTAATGCATTTTAAAGTCAGTTATTGCTAATGTTTCTCGCGGCGGCAGGAAATCGCAGCGAGAGTGAATCAGTCGGCTCTGGAGGCTGTAACACCTTCACCATCCTTCCAACAGCGGCATGAGAGTTTCAGACCGAGCACGTGAGTGTCAGCGCAACAGCACTTAAAGGAATAGTTCACCCAAAAATGAAAATTAGCTGAAAATATCCTCACCACCAGATCATCCAAGATGTAGATGAGTTTGTTTCTTCATCAGATTTGGAGAAATGTAGCATTGCATCACTTGCTCAGCAATGGATGCTCTGCAGTGAATGGGTGCCGTCAGAATGAGAGTCCAAACAGCTGATAAAAACATCACAATAATCCACAAGTAATCCACACCACTCCAGTCCATCAGTTAATGTCTTGTGAGGCCAAAAGCTGTGTGTTTGTAAGAAACAAATCCATCATTAAAATGTTTTTAACTTCAAACCGTTGCTTCCGGCTAAAATATGAGTCCATAATCCATAATAACGCTTCCTCCAGTGAAAAAGTGGTCTGGTCTGAATCAGGAGAGAAATCTGCACAGTTTACAAGCAAAAACCGTTCTAGACTGGATTTTGATGTGAGAGACAACAGGAGATGGACTTTTTCACTGGAGGAAGCGTTATTATGGATTACGGACTCATATTTTAGCCAGAAGCAGTGGTTTAATGTTAAAACATCTTAATAATGGGTTTGTTTCAGCTTTTCTCTCCTCAAGACATTAATTGATGGACTGGAGTGGTGTGGATTATTGTGATGTTTTCATCAGCTGTTTGGACTCTCGTTCTGACGGCACCCATTCACTGCAGAGGATCCATTCCCTCATCAGAGAGATGTGATTTTAAATTATTCCATGTTTTCTTTATGAATGCATTGGTGTTTTTTGCCCCTGAAGGCAAGGTCGACCCAAAACGGGCCGTTCAGGCAGTCAGTGCTCTGTGGGCTAAGACCCTAAAGAATCATATCAACTTGTGGAAAATGGGCATCCGATGACCCCTTTAAGAAAATGTGAAAATGTAGTTTTTCAAAGATTTTGGTCTATGTTTACATTACAACATAGTTTAATGTCTCTTAAAATGTTTTGCTTATTTATTTCTAGGCTTATTGACCCACAGACGCAAGTCACAAGACTACGGGTAGGTCCTTAAGCAACTATTTAACAGTTTTGTGATTTATGTTACTTTTTTGGTCACAGAATGTAAGGTTCATGTATTCAGCGTGTACTGCTCACATTGGGTGTTCAAACCGAATCCAGTGCAGTTTTTCCAAGTCAGTATTTGTTGTGTCGTCCCTCAGTTTCCTCTCTCCAGCGTTGTGCTGTGCGCGTCACATCAGGAGAACAAGCGCTTGTTTGGTTTTGTGCTGAAGACAGCAGGAGGACGAGTGGACGGACGGCCCGTTACAGTCTGCTACGTCTTTGAGTCAAACAATGATGGAGAGAAGGTACAAATACCTTGATCTCGGAGTAATAAATATGTAAAAAAAAACAAATAAATAATAATAATATATATATAGATATATTATGTTATACTATAATTATTTAGTATGCAAAATTTATATAAAATAGAAATTTTAATATAAATATAAATAAAATGTAATATAATATTAATATATTAAGTTACATATATGTATGTTGTATTATAATTAATCTACATTACATATATATAATTATACATTCTTATATTAATCATTTAATATTACATTAATATAAAAATATTACTATAATAATGTATATTTAAATATTATATTAATATATTACATTATACTATATAGTGTACATAAACATTTTAGTATACTTAAAAATATATAATTTATTCTTACATTAATAATTTAATGTTATATAATATTACTATAATAATATATATTTATATTACTATATAATGTATAATATTAATATATATTAAGCTATAATTTACACTCACACACCCATATTATTGTTATTATATAAATAAATATTGTCATATATTATTATAATGAGTTATGCTATAATTTATTTACTTTTTTTTTATTTGTAGTCTATATAAATATATATTTAAAAATCATTAGATTGTAATTATAACAAAATATTATATGATCTATTTTATTTTATTAATTAATTAATTTTTATAAACCTTTTATTTTATACTTTAATAAGGACATGTGGACATACACCTGATTTAAAAAAAATATGGATATTTTAGAGATTGTTTTAAGCTCATCTTGCTCTTGAATATTAGATCTGTGACAGTGTAGGACTGGCGAAGCAGATCGCCCTCCACTCTGAGATGGTGAGAAAACTCTTCATTTATTTGATTTCAAATTATAAACAAACACACACACACACGCATATAATAGTTATTATATAAATAAACATTAGGTAATATTATATTATTATATTAAGTTAATTTATTTTCTTATATTTTTTATGCATATAATATATATGTATATTATTTAATTATAGACTTTTATATGAATATATATTTCTAAATCATTTGTTTGCAATTATAAATAATAATATATTATCTATTTTATTATATTTATTTATTTTTATAAACTTATACTTTTATAAGGACATGTGTACATGCACCTGATTTAAAAACAATATTGATATTTTTGAGATATTTTTAAGCTCATCTTGGTGATGTTAATGCTCTTGAATATTAGATCTGTGACAGTGTAGGACTGGCGAAGCAGATCGCCCTCCACTCTGAGATGGTGAGGAAATTCTTAATTTATTTGATTTCAAATGACTCACTCTGTGCAGAAATTCATGTCGGGTCAAATAAAATGGATAATGCTGATGATATGCATGAATATGCATGTGTTTTTTCCTGATAGGACCGCAAAGCCACACAGAAACAGAGAGGGTTGGACAAAGCCAAGGAGAAACAACAGGAAGAACTTCATAAACAAAAACAGATTGAGAAGGTCAAAGTTTTGGATCTGTACGATTTTTTTAATGTTTCTTAAAGAAGTCTCTCAAGGCTGCACTGATGTGATTAAAAATACAGTAAAAACTGTAATATTGTGAAATATTATTACAATTTAAAATAGCTGTTTTCTATGTGATTATATAGTAAAATGTAATTTATTCCTGTGACCAAAGCTGTATTTTCAGCATCATTTCTCCAGTCTTCAGTGTCACATGATCTTCAGAAATCATTCTAATATGCTGATTTGCTGCTCAAGAAACATTTCTCATTATTATCAATGTATATTTTTGTAGAAACTGTGATATATATATTTTTTTCAGGATTCACAGATGAATAGAAAGTTCAAAAGAACAGCATTTATGTGAAATAGAAATCTTTCCTAACATTATGTCTTTACTGTCGCTTTTGATTAATTGAATGCATCCTTGCTGAATAAAAGTATTCATTTCTTTAAAAAAAATTAAAAATACAAAACTGTGTTCTCCAAACCTACAGGATCTCGAGGAACAAAGCCGTTTGATAGCCGCCTCTAGTCGACCCGGCCAACCAGCTGCTGATGGACAGTTCTTGGTCCTTAGCAACAGCCAATCAGAGGACAGCGATGCAGGAGAGGAGGGGCAGAAAACGGGCGAATCCGAGGCCTGATGAAAACCGTTCTGTGCTTGGGTTCCACGAATATCACTTCCTGTTCTTCAAGGGTTCTCCAGAGTGGCCTGCAGAAACGATGATTTAAAATATGTGACTGCAAAATATGATAAAAAACGAATTCATATGGACACTTCGGGGAAAACGTATCAAAAGTTGTTATTTGTAGGAATCCTGTATTTTTACCATATCCGTTATTGAATTGCATTTGCTTTTAGAGGGTTTTATATATGTATGTGTGTAAATGAATGCACTACACCTGAAGAGACGTAAGGCGACGTTTGTTGCTTTATTTCGATGAAGTTGCACGTGTGAGTTAATACTGTTGGACTTCGTTTTTTGTTCTCACTGATAATGTTTTAAGGCTGCATGTGTTTTCGTTCATATCACGTCAACGGTGACAGAATTTAGAGTGAATTTCACAAAACGTGTCAAGAGCGTGATGTATTATGGTAATTAAAATAATACTAAATATCTGAATTTTCTTTATGCAAATCAATTCTTTCTGAAATATGAGCCGTTCTTGAGAGATTCTGTGAGGTTCATCCTACTGCATTTCAGAATGATTTCTATTTTGTGTTTGTAATTAACACAGTTCTGATTTTTGTCTATAAGCTATTGCAACCATGTTTCATAATGTTTTTCATCTACAAACACATTTGTTTGGTTAATGTTACAGTTATGTGATCACTCAGTGTTTCTATCTGATCACTAAGGAAAATGTTTTGTTTAAAATCATGTGATCAAATGCCTTTGAACTTGGGATGTACTTTAATTTTTTTGTTCTGTTTTGTATAAGATATTTTGAAGTCTGCATCGCACATAATGGGCCAATGTATTGAAATGCTTCAGCTTGTGGATAAAAGAAACAGGTGATGGAATTGCAAACTGAAATATAAATTTTTGCTTTTCTCCAAAAATCTGACATGGTGGAAGTTTTTTGCTGAATTAAATACGGTCTCATTCATTGATTTGGTCATTCATTGTCTTTATGGTTCGTATACTGAGACACTTTCTGTTACATGACAGTCTGTTATTAAGTTTGAAGCATTTGCAGCATTAATTTGTACATTATTATTTCTAACCTTTAAGAAAATGTTTGTGTCTAAATGTCTTTCTACAAAATCAGTTGATGGATTTATGGGGTACAATGAAGATTGGTATTAAAAATCGGTTTTAAAACAGCTGATCTTCTTTGACTCGCTTACAGAAATAATGTCAGTGTCTTTTTATTTATTTATTTTCTCATTACTCTGGTATATAACTTTTTAAGGCATGTTTTCTTTTTTTTCTTTGTATTTTTCTTATACTTCTTCAAATAACAAACAGGTATTTTCATTGTTACAGCTACATCCAACATCGAAAAGAATACAAAGGAAAAAAACACAAAAACAAATAATAAATTAAAATAAATAAATTAAAATATAATAAATGCAAGCTAAATTAAATTAAACTTAAAGGGGGTTAATCTATATATTTTATTATTTTCCATTACTCTGGTTTAAATTTTTTAGTTTAGTTATTTTATTTTATTTTTTTTTTTACTTTTATTAAACTTTTTTAAATGACAAACAGGTATTATAACTTAAACACAGGTACAATAAATCCAAAAAAATTAAAATATATGAACAAATAATAAATACAAATATATATACAGTGGTGTGAAACAGTGTTGGCTGGCTGAATTACAACAATTCTGCATAGATGAGTGGACCAAAATTCCTCCACAGAGCTGTAACAGACTCATTGCAAGTTATCGCAAACGCTTGATTGCAGTTGTTGCTGCTAAGGGTGGCCCAACCAGTTATTAGGTTTAGGGGGCAAACACTTTTTCACACAGGGCCATGTAGTTTTGGATTTTGTTTTCCCTTAATAATAAAACCTTCATTTAAAAACTGCATGTTGTGTTCACTTGTGTTATCTTTGACTAATATTTACATTTGTTTGATGATCTGAAACATTAAAGTGTGACAAACATGCAAAAAATAAGAAACCAGGAAGGGGGCCAACACTTTTTCACACCACTGTATATATATTTATATATACACAAAAACTAAATTAAACAATTCTTTTTGCTTTATACAATTTTTAAATGCCACTAAACTTACTATTTATAAACAAATATTATTTTTTATAATATCTTTAAGTTAAGATGTCAAGACGTCACATATTTCTGAAGTGTCTAAGAATAAATATTATCCAATAAACATTTTGTTTTTAATTTCAAGTATTTTAAAAACAACCTCAGTATGAGCTCCATCAAACTCTCCAAACTTGTGCAACTGGATTATCTCTGTAAAATAAAGCGTAAATTCCTTGTATTGTAGGTGGAGTGATTTGATATTCATCTCTAATTGGTCTTCAGTTGGTTTGCATTTAAACAAGTCTAATTGGTCATTTCTTTGCAAAACAATGGAGCCGCAGGGGCCGCGCTTGTGTCCTCTGTGCTCTCCGAGAGCCCAAGACAAATAAACAAGCAAGTAATTTATTAAAAGCAGCCAAGCAACCAAAAGAGATCAATTCGGCATTGAATGAGACCATTATTACATGCTGCTTCCAGCAGGCAGCTATTGTGCTTTTGTGATCCGGAGCATCTTTCTCCATGCATGTCAAGAGAGAATGGGAATATTCAGCAGGATTAGTTTAAACAGCATTAGGCTTTATTATTATTTTAAACTCGTGTGGTAGAAAATAAGGTAAATAAGATTAGACACTAGTTGACTGGTTTCTCATAATGCTGGAGATGCGGCACAAGGAAATGAAGAGAAGATAAATCCCGGGAACGGGGCCTAATTTTCTACCTGGTGAGTAAAAAGAATGGCACATCAGCCTGTTTTGTCTCTTTCAATAGCAGCTTTAAGGGATTCAGTGTCTCTAGAAGATAACAGGTTGAGCTTCAGGTTGGAACGCCTCATTCTGGACCCTGAATTACCTGCAGTCCAGGGGCCCCATGCGGAGGGCCGTTCAGTCTCAGGCTTTAATTAGTGACGTTTCGGGGAGTATGGAGCTATAAAGACGAAGCTCCTGCTTCGGAAAGAAGAAGAAGAAGAGGACTCGATCTCCAGATGGCTTCTCTCACAGTCAGCGCGTATCAGAACCGCTCGATGCCCAGACAGTCTGCCTTCACCATCGACAGCATCCTGGGACTCGACAGACCGGACCAGAGAACCGTCCTGTCAGCACCTTACCGACCGTGGACAGGTAAAATAACACGCACTATATGCACAAATATATGTTAGAGATGTGTTTTCATATATTTTAAACGCAGAATGGACAAAACAAATCTTAATTGATGAATTGATTGATCTTTAGACTATTACCGTATATTTTAAAATAAAAAATATTGCCCAAAATATATTTTAAAAATATTTGGAAGTAAAAAGTAAACAATATTGGGGATGATTCATGTAAATTGGCTATAATTTAAAATAAAATAAAATAATAAAATTGGTAATTAATATTAATATTAGGAAGAAAAAAAATTAATGTAACCTGTTAGGCTAAGCAAATTGAAAACACAGAGAACAGTTTGGTTTCTGAGAATAATTTAAGCGACGACTCGGTTTACTGAACCGTTTCTCTGGAGCGACACGTTCGAATAATCTGATTCACTTAAATGAATCGCTATTCCCAGCAATAGTGCGCACGAACCGACGGAGTTTTACTGAACCGGTTCACTGGATAAAACAAAGATTATTAGAGTATGTTTCACAAGAAAATATTACTTCACTCTTTCCTTTCCACTTCAAAATGTCACGTTTTATTCAGTGTGCTACTTTTTTGTAATTATTAATGAAATTTGCTTCTGGGAATAATTTCGAGATATGAATGAACCGATACTGTAACCTATTTAGGCTAACAATGAACCGATACTGTATTTAGGCTAAACAAATTGAAAACACAGAGAGCAGTTTGGTTTCTGAGAATACTTTTAAGTGATGACTCGGTTTACTGAACCGATTCTCTTAAGCGACCCGTTCGAACAATCCGATTCACTTACATGAATCGCTATCCCCAGGAATAGTGCGCACGAACCTTTTTTGACTTTATTTCCTGATCTAATGTCATCTATTTATTCCAGACGTGAAACCAGCATGCCAGAACCGTCGCGTGGTCGCAGACAGTGATGCTCCAGTGGATGTGAGGGCGAATGAAGATGGTAAATCTTACAGTAAATCCCCAGCAGACTCGTACAGGAGAACACTGAACTGGTACATCGGGCGCAGGACGCGAACGGCTTTCTCTAGTGTTCAGGTAAACGTTGACCTGTACATCATGTGATTTACTTACAGAACCATAACATTTATTTGTCTACATGATATGTCCCAGCTAACAAAAATATGATCTAAGAATGTTTTGCAAATGTTCCTTTTATGTTATGAAAACGTTATTTCTGAACGTTCTCTGAACCTTCAAAACGCCCAGTTTTTTTAAACGTTCCAAAATCGTTTTTTGTTTGTTAGGCTACTTTCCATTTCATCATTTAACAAATATTATGAAAACATTACTTTTGAATTTTCTCCGAATGTTCTAAAACAAGTACACTCTAAAAAATGCTGGGTTAAATACAGCCCAGTGCTGGGTAAAATAGGGACAAACCCAGCAATTGGGTTGTTTTGACCCAGCGGTTGGGTTAAATGTTTAACCCAACCTTCTGGGTAGTAACCCAACCACTGGGTCAAAACAACCCAATTGCTGGGTTTGTCCCTATTTTACCCAGCACTGGGCTGTATTTAACCCAGCATTTTTTAGAGTGTACTTGTTTTAGAACATTCGGAGAAAATTCAAAAGTAATGTTTTCATAATATTTGTTAAATGATGAAATGGAAAGTAGCCTAACAAACAAAAAACGATTTTGGAACGTTTAAAAAAACTGGGCGTTTTGAAGGTTCAGAGAACGTTCAGAAATAACGTTTTCATAACATAAAAGGAACATTTGCAAAACATTCTTAGATCAGGTTGGGTTACTACCCAGAAGGTTGGGTTAAACATTTAACCCAACCGCTGGGTCAAAACAACCAATTGCTGGGTTAAATACAACCCAGTGCTGGGTAAAAATAGGGACAAACCCAGCAATTGGGTTGTTTTGACCCAGTGGTTGGGTTACTACCCAGAAGGTTGGGTTAAACATTTAACCCAACCGCTGGGTCAAAACAACCCAATTGCTGGGTTTGTTCCTATTTTACCCAGCACTGGGTTGTATTTCACCCAGCATTTTTTTTAGAGTGTAGTAACATTTAAAAATGGTAGATGAACATCCAACCAAAATCAAGTGCACAAAAAGTTTCAGCAGTTTCATGCTTTGAAATATAATTTTGCAAAATACGTTGAAAGCTGCCATGGACTATTTGTGATTTCTGTATAATAACTAAAAAGTAACTTTCAAAAAACTGTCATTTTGTCATTAACTATCATTTTTTTAAATGTCCAGATCAAGATATTGGAGAGTGTGTTTCAAGTGAACTCGTACCCAGGCATTGATATACGTGAAGAACTTGCTGAGAAACTGCATCTAGATGAGGACAGAATTCAGGTAAAGACTGATCTGAATCTATATATTGAACCAATATTATTTATTTAGTATAATATTGTTTGTTTTGGGCTATTTGAATACGTAGAGCTGCAGATGTAGGACTTGCAAAGATACATAATACTAAACTGGAAGACGTTCGAACTGTGTCAGAGATTTTTTAATAAGTTTATTGCAGCTTATTGATTAATATTTTTATGTTTGTCTCTTAGATTTGGTTCCAGAACAGAAGAGCGAAGCTGAAGCGTTCACACAGAGAATCTCAGTTTCTCATGGTGAAAAACGTCCTCAGTGATTTACAAACCAGCAGAGAAGAACGCTGATCGTCGCAGATCTACATTTGTTCATATTATTATTATTTCCGTTGCTCTGCCTCGCTCGGTGATGTTGTAATTTATTATATATGCCTTTACCTGTTTTGTAATTAATAATTATCTCTGACTATGATTTAAAATAATTCTTATTGTATTTCTTATTGTGTGTTTGCTGCAAATATAAAAGAATAAAGTCAATATAAACACAATTTTAATCCGGCTTTTTAATTCAACTGTAAATTTAAATTTGTCTAGTTCCAAGTTAACATTATCTTCTGCCAACTGTTAAGCAAAC